AGAGAGAGAGAGAGAGAGAGAGAGAGAGAGAGAGAGAGAGAGAGAGAGAGAGAGAGAGAGAGAGAGAGAGAGAGAAATGGAGAGGAAGACCTCCCGAGTTTCGCTTCTTCCGTCACCAGGGGGATCAATCAATCAGACTAATCAACGAATCAATCAACTCGTCAATCAATCAATCAACTACTTAATCAATCAATCCCACATTTTCTTTATACATGCTTGTAAATGTTACTTTTATTTACCTTTCCCGCGTGGGAAAATAGGGAAAACTGGCTGTTTTCCCAAACTCCTGAATCTGCGGAGGTCGGGCCCGACGACGACTGCCATTGATAAATCTGATCGGCGGCGGTCATTTCGTTTCGGCCTCCGAAAAGGTCGGATGCCTACCCGAGGCCCGCTATTTTCCAAGCGGCAAGGGTACTAGTGGTTTAAGAGAAAAAACAAGAGAGAACTTGCAACTTGCAACTTGCAACTTTGAAACTCCTCTGAAGCTTGGGCGTACATGCTTTTGGAACCTGTGACCCTTTTTGCCTTTCATTTTTTCCAACTTCTCGCATCTTCAGAGAGGGCTCCAAGGAGGAGGAGAGGACGACAGTGGATTAACGACGACCAATGCCACGGGATACAGCAGAGAGCGGCCGGGACCTCAACTGTGCATACATGAATGATGGGGTCGGGACTTGGGATCTCAACTGGTCGTATGGTAGGACGAGGGCTCTGAATTACAGGAAAATGCCTGCCTGATCTAATCCCTGGAAATTGCTGAACTGAATGCAGGGGATTTTCTCTTCCAGCGGTAGGAGGTAGGGAGTGTGTTGCAGACCGTGGGATCGAAACCAGAAGCTGTAAGCTGTTTGTTGCAGGGCAAGGGATCGAAACCAGAAGCTGGCGGAAGTTGCTGGCGGAAGTTGCGCGGCGTGGGATAGAAAGCAGAAGTTGCAGGGCCTGGGATAGAAACCGTGTTTCAGTGAGGTGCCTCCTAGTGGGACTGGAGGGTTCGCTCTGGGTCTGGTGAGGAGGGTGGGGGCACTGGGGGGGTAAAGTACAGTTGGTTATCAGGAGCGGCCGCAGCGGAGTAGGGAACGAGGGTGACAACAGACAGGAGGGGCGGTGGTGGAAGTAGACAAGAGGATTTCTCAAAATGGACCAGGGATCAAGGAGGAATAGCAAGAACGTGGATGACCAAGGGAGGACGAGCCCAAGCATGGACCAAGGGGGCAGAAGGAGCCCTAGCGTTGACCAGGGGGGCAGAAGGAGCCCTAGCGTTGACCAGGGGGGTGACCAAATGGGCAGAAGGAGCCCTAGCGTTGATCAGGGCCCGAGGGGATCTCAACCTAACTCTAGGAGAGGGTCTGGGAACCCTGTTGTCCCTGCCCAAGCACCACCGCCATCGGAAAGCAGGAGATCATCCAATAATCCAATGAACATGCAAGGTAGCCTTGGACTTTATGGTGTAATGAATAAAAAGGGCATGAACCAATAACCAAGGTATAAACCACCATTACGCTGGAGCCGGAGTCGGGAGCCGGAGCTGGAGCCGGAGCCTCTTTTTCCCAATGCTTGCTTTTTGCGGGCCCTGGACTGCTGAATCATAGCGGGGGTCCGGGCATAGTACTTGGGGGCTGGCCACTGGCTTTGGCTTTTCTTTGGTCCCGTATGTCAACCTGACGGCAGCCCTATGTTAAGCCACCACTGCTGCACAAGTGGATGTTTTCCCATGGAGTATGGATTGAGCTGGCAGCAGGCAGGCTGGTGGATGAGGCGCAGCCGCCTTGTCGACGGCTGGCGTCAAGTTTTGCAGACAGGGTAGGCACCGTGATGGTTTATCCTCCGGCGTCCTGACCTGCTGGTAGTTTAGATAAACCAAGAAGGGAACTCAAATATGGGTGATGGTTAACTGACACATGGTAGGGGCCTTGGCCCGCCGTACGAATCTCTGAATGTATGGCTACCGTCTTCCCCCGAACACAACGCACCCTCATTTTGTCTGTATCGGGCCGGAAACATGCCTTGCACATGTTCATTTTCAGGGTGCGTTATGTTCGGGGGAAGACGATAGCTATGCACTCGTATCCGAACACCCACCCTCTCGAGTTGCTAGCTATGTCTTGCTAGCTCTTGTGTGTTTGTATTCCAACACCCGCTCCCCAGTTGCAAGCTATGTGCTGCTAGCTATGCACTTGTATTTGAGCACCCACCCTCCCCAGCTGCTAGCTATGTGTACGTGTATTCAAACACTCACCCTCCCAAGTTGCTAGCTATGTGTACTTGTTTGCGAGCACCCGCCCTCCCGAGGTTTGCTAGCTATGTGTACTTGTTTGCGAGCACCTGCCCTCACCAGTTTTGCTACCTATGTGTGCTTGTATTCGAACACCCAGGCCAGTATGTCCTGGAACCATATTGTTTGACACTTGATCTCTTAGCTATCCGGTCACAAAAATTGGAAAGTCATGCTATCACCGTGCTCTCTACAACACATTGGGGCCAGCAATTCGCTGAATGGGGTATGGCAGTTTTCAATGGCTTGGGGAATGTGAACGTAGCCTGAGGTCAAGTAAGACCTGCTGGCAGAATCTGGACATAGTTATGCTCACATGGATTCAGGGAAGTCCCAGTGTGGGTATCACCTAAGACCCCCCTGAACCCCAAGGTGGTGCTGAATGTGGATGGCATTGGGGTTGACAAAAGGGATATAGACTTTTGCTGCGTTTGGGCCTTGCTTGCCGCGTCATGGTGTGAATGCATGCGTCATCAAATGGATATTTGTCTCCAACTATGGATGGAGGGATGGATTGATGGATGGAAAGGAAGAAAAGACTGCATCAAATCCTCTGGTATCATATGCGGCCCTGCAGCTGAGGATCACTGTAAGAAATTATCTTGGTTGCATCGTCATGGAGTCAATGCATGCATCAAATGCATACTTGTCTCCAGACTATGGATGGAGCTTCATAGAAGCAATGAATCATATTGTTTGGTATTATATGCCCTGAAGCAGAAGATTAAGCTCAAATTATGAACCTTAAACCTTAAACCCTAAACCCTAAATCCATAACCCTAAACCCACTCCCACTCAAATCCTTCACCCTCAACTCCTCACCTGCAGCAGAGGCTCAACGACAAATTATGAAGCTTAAAAACTTTAACCAATAAACCCGAAACCCTTCCTTCCCAAAACCATCACTCTGAACGTTCTGCCATAAACGCTAAACCCTATACCCTTTATTATTGACCCTGAACTTCCCCCCCTAAAGGCCCTGAACATTTTACTAGAAACCATTTACCCTATGTTCTTGAACCACCAGTACCTTTGGTCAACATTTTTCCAACCTGGGGGATGCTGTGCACGCCAAAAAAAAAAACGAAGCGGCGCGGGCCTTCTTTTGGCTGGTGTCGCCAGCCATTTTGCTCTGGTAGCCCAACCCCCAAAATTCGTGGCGCGTTAATGGCCGCTTGCGCCGGTAGCCCAACCCCCGAGATTCACAGCACGTTAACGGCTGAGTCGGAGAAAAATGGCTGGGCGAGGTACTGGTGGTTTTACCCTTCACATGAATCCTCAACCCTTAGACTCACCCTTCCTTCCCAAGACCGTTGCTTCGCCATAAACCCTAAGCCCTATACCCTGAACTTCCCCCTTAAAGGTCCTGAACACTTTACTAGAAACCATTTACCCTATGTTCTTGACCCTTCACACGACTCCTCAACGCTTAGCATCTCACCTTAGCTCCTTCAGTATCTGCAAGTGCCTCTCAGATTTGATGAAGTTCAAGCCTTTATTATCTAACAGTAGGCCTAACACAGCCTCATTGGCAATTTGAGCACTACCTTGCTCCTTGGGTGGTCTTTAGGCTGGGACTGGCCCAATGCCATTTGGGAAAAAACTGCAACCTGGCTTGCATGCCCTTTTCTTTGCTTCAGGGCTGCTGCACGTCTGGCCCGGTGGCGCCCAACAAACGCATTTCATGGAGGGGGGGGGTGTGCGTGTGTGTGTGCCACATCCCCTTTTTTTTTCAGCCATTTCAGTATGTCTGCACTTTCGTTTTGCTCCTTCTTTTTTCTTCTTTCTTTTCTTTGGCTACTGCTTGTACGAATACCAGCAGATATGCCAAATGCCAAGCGGTGCTCGTTCGACCTTTGGGCCAAGTACTACCGTCTTCACCCGAATAGAACGCCCAGTCAATAGAGCTGTATTTGGCACGACTTTCAGTCCAGATGCAGCGATAATGACCAGGCGTTCTATTCGGGTGAAGACGGTAGTCCCCTTGGCCAAGCGGACACACATTTTAAAAGCGATGGCCTGGCGCATGGCCTGGAGTTCTTTCTTAGGACGGAAGTGGACATGACAGTGCGCTTTGGGCCTAACGGTCCACGGCCAGTCCCAGTGGGTCTTACTGTGGCAGTTCGTCATGGACGTGCAGGCTGTGATGATCATGCTGACAGATTGCTGTGGGTGACCCACCTGCCACACACCCTGAGTCCTTTACCCTAAGCCTACCGTCTTCACCCGAATAGAACGCCCGGTCATTATAGCTGTACTTGGCACAACTTTCAGCCAGATACGGCGATAATTACCGGGCGTTCTATTTGGGTGAAGACGGTAGTTAGTCTGCCACTCTCTCTCATTCCTAAACTCTCAAGTCCAATTCATTAGTGCGTTGTCTTTTCATCTACACCCTTAATTCTTTGTCATCTCATTGGTCTTTCACCCTAAATCTTCTACTGTAGACTGCCGGCACCTCACAGCCTAATCTACCAACACTGTTTACCCCGTGCCCGGCCTGGTCGTTTGTCTCCTCTGTGGAAAGCAAACGAAATATCTCTATCTTCTTCAGCTGAACGTAACTCCCTATCACCATGCATGTGCACGCCGTCTATTCTCGTTAAGTACAGTCAGGATAATAGGGAGCCATGTTCGCGGGAGTAACATAGCCATGAATTGGGTTGCCTGTGGTGTAAGGAACTGGAGGAGGGGAAGATGCCATCGTATAGGCACTGTGGAAAAGAGAGAGATATGACTGGATTTGCGGACAACTTATCGTGATGCTGAAAATCAACTTCTTCCAGGCCTGCTATCTACTCCATGGGCCTCCATTCATCCTACGGGAATCCACTTCTTCCCCGCGGCTTGCTGAAAAGACCCTTCTAATGTTCTCGAGGCTTGTCTGATTCCTCTTAGCACTTGTGCCCTAGACTCCTGGTGATGCTAAGCCCGCTGTCTCCTACTCGTTCCTCTGGACCCCAACCTTACCCCTGTGCGGAGACCCCTAGTTTGTTTGGTTGGATTTCATTTTGCAATTGTGCCAATTTTAGTTATGTTTCTCTCTCTCTCTCTCTCTCTCTCTCTCTCTCTCTCTCTCTCTCTCTCTCTCTCTCTCTCTCTCTCTCTCTCTCTCTCTCTCTC